GACTTTGGGCTTGTGTCGATGACACCAGTTTAAGGTGCTTCTAAGATCATTCAGATTTAACGGAGAGGTGCATTTGACCTGATTCAATTCGACTTGTATGAGAATGCAAAACCTGTCTGAAGTGCACAACAGCACATGAACAAAGGCCTTTAAAGTCTTGTATATTAAACATTTAGGGGGTTATTTACAGAGGAGCCCAAGGATCCAGCCGTAGCTTCGGCTGATCCTTCGGCTCTGTTCGGCCGCTGGAGCCCTTCGGTTCAGTAGAACCGAAGGGCTGCTGTACGGTCTATTCACTACAACCCGTACAGCTGCCGGAGACGGCTGAGTGACTCAGCCGAGCCAAAGGCATATGCTTCGGCTCGACTGAGCCAAAGTGACAGGCGAAGGAGGGCGAACGGCCTGCCGAAGGCCGGCCTATCGCCCTGCATATGACAGCTGGGCTGAGCCAGCCGTGATCTCATGGCTGGCTTCACCCAGTTGTAATGACAGATCAGCGTCCCCAAATGACTTGGGGACGCTGATCTGTGATTTAACAATAACAACTGGGCTCCGCTCAGTTGTTATTTACTGGCCGGGACCTGCTAGAACACACCAGCAGGTGCCGGCCAATAGGAAACAGTTGGGCGGAGCTAGCTGTCACTGCTAAAGAACTTCGGCTCAGCCAATCCAGAAGTTGGATCGGCTGAGTCGAAGTCCTTCTGCACTTTGGCTCAGCCGAACATGCAGAGCATGTTCGGCTGACCGAAGTGCAGCTGATTTCAGCGGATGCACGGCTGATTTCAGCCAATATACGGCTGAAATCAGCTGTACAAGCCATAAGTGAATAGCCGAACGTTGTTCGGCTCACTTTACTTAGGCTCGGTTATTCACTCGGCAGCTTTGTGAATAACCCCCTTATAATAGATTCCAGTTTTAAGTCAGCGCTCAGTATTACTACGCCTAGAACTTCCAAAGCTTTTATTGCTTATTACTGATGATATATTTCAATTGTATTCTCTATCCATCCTATTGCACCACACCCTGCTGTCAGCACCATTCTGTCTTGTGGTAATAAGACAGAGAGAGTCTGAAAAACAGGACCATACACTATTCAAAAAGTAATTGTTTTCTCAGATTTAGATGTGTACTGTATACTAAAAGACAAAGAAACAAAGAAGAATGCAAAATTACTTAGGAGTGCCTTAAGATATAACACACAACATCCTGTTAGTCATTGATCAGATTCATGCTCTCCTCATATTCCTGAGTAAGTGGTGGCACTTTTAGAGGCACTGGAATATTGTACAGAGGCATCTAGATCCCACTGCTACTGGTCATAGCTCAGGCCACATTGGAGTTCAAAGAAGTTGAGGATCACTGTACAGCTGGCAGCAAGGTAGTTCCCATACTACACGACATATCAATACTTTGAGCTATACGAGTGTGAGCTTTTACAGCTGTTTTTTAAGTATTTTTTATTGTGCGTTTGGCATATTTAGGCTAGAGTGTTTTTGTTATGGAAAGCTAGGTACTAAGAGAAGGAGTCGGTTGTTTAGCCTTGTAAATGCTTATTTTCAGGATTTGTGCAGGTGCTTCCATTGAAGTCTGTGAGGCCAAAAAATCCCCATTCTCCTTCAAAAGTTGCTCATGTACTGTACCTTTTTGAGCTTCAGGTGTCGAGCTACAGGCCCCTGAGCGCTCATATGTGAAGGTTGTTGAAAGTTTTGGAGTTTTGAGCTCAGGTGTGAATCAGGGCTTACATCCAAAACTGTATTTTCACAGCTATTTCATGCTACAAATCTTCTTTACAATTAAGTTATATTAGAATGTGATGTAGTTATACAATGTTTTACCTGTGTCAAGCATACTCGTGGATGCCACTTAGCCTCAGGTTGCATTGGATGACTCTTTGATACATTTACTATTTATTCCGTTTGTTCTCAATCAGTGTTTCATTTTGGTTCACCAGGAATAAAGGTCTGTATTGTAACAGGCAATGGTACTGTTCAGATATCTGCAGTTACATGCAATGGGCTGCGATGGAGTGCATCTGAAATCTTGCAGTAGTCTGGGTATGATGCTTATGTGCCTTAACCCCTCAGAACCCAGTCTCCAGTCTATATATCTTAAGCCCTCAGGGCCAGCATTCAGCCTATGTGCATTAACCCCTCAGCAGCCAATCTTCAACCTATGCACCTTAACCTCTCCACAACCAGTCTCCGGCCTGAGTGCCTTAACCCACTTCTTCAGCCATACTCCAACCTATGTGCCCTAACCCCTCAGTGGCCAGTTTTCAACCTTTGTTTATAAACTCCTCCGTGGCCAGTTTCTAGCCTCTATGCATTATCCCTCAGCTGCCAGTCTCCAGCCTGCGTGCACTGTGGTTGCATGTATTGGGGTACAAAATGTTGTTAATAGTTAGTCACTGCAACAACAAGAGATGTGTGCATCTTTGTGCAGATTCTAAACTACTCTGAGCAGTTTAAAAGTGATACTAGATGGTCAGACTGAGGGTCAGATGGAGCTTCCTTTCATTAACATACAATGCTTGGAGGTTTTATCCCTTTGAGAGAACAGTGTTCACATCTAGTGTACCACTGATTATGAATTCTGCCAGCACAGTACAGACAGGGTTAGTTAGATAAACTACCTAGATTAAAGGAGAACTATGGGGTTAGGGCTGTTCCCCATAGTTCTCCTAAGGGTCACGGGAGAACACAAACTAGCGTTCTCCCGTGTCCCAAAGCGAGCTGTAGCTTGCGGTATACTGAGACGCCGCAGTCGGGACGGATCCCAACAATACTGTCTGGATCCACCCAGCTGCGAGATTGACAGCTGGCTCTGCCTATCCAGAGGCAGAGCCAGCTGTTGATGCCGACCTCCCTCCCCCCCGTCAGTCCGTGTTGCCAGTCAGCGCTGGAGGATAGGACAGGGGAGGGGGGGAATCCATGCAGGGAGCCGTGAGTGACAGTCACGGCTCTCTGCAGAGATAGATTGAGAAGTGAGCGGGCGACGGTATGTGTTCGCTCAATTCCCGATCTACTGAGCCGACCTGTGACAGTTTCATTGTCACAGGTCGGCTCAGATTATGATGCTGAGTGAAAATCACCTTAAAAAAAAAAACTTTGCATATCCCCTCCTTATCATTGCATAGGGGGAATAGGTAGGATTTGTAAGCAAGTAAAAAGCATTTAAAAATGTAAGAAACAATTGTTATTTTAAGTTATGCTATGTGAACGAGAACTTATAACAAATATAAAATAGATGTTATCCCAATATGGCTGCAAAAGTGGAACTACTAAAGTACAGGTATATGTACTGTATAGCCAAATCCTTTTCTGAGCTTTAGAGTAGAATCCCTCCCAGGTTTTTATTCTGATTGTGGGGCGGTGCTGAGTAGCTTCATCCTCTCTGTCCTATTGATCTATGGTTTGATATTAGAACAAACATTCCAACAAGGAATTTTATTTGAACAAAAGTCTACAGTTGTATGGCCAGCTTAAAGTAGTATTAAACTTTAAAACGTTTTTCAATAATAAATTAAGATTAAGCAAATATACATTGCCCAGCAAGCACTTCTTTCATTTTTTTCCGCCAAGCACATACAGTTATCATGTTTCCAAACAGCTCCAACTCTGTCAGCTAAGTTTCCCTGAACTTCCTGTCCAGTACAAGAACACAAGGGACAGAGCAGTCTACAACAACTGTCCATCTACTAGCTTGAAAAACGGTGGCGGGAGCAATAAGGAAGGAAAAGAGAGCAGCAGGGGGAAGGGGGTTGGCTAGCCTTACTGTGCCTGCGTGTTTGTGGAGACACACACAGCTTACTAGCACACACACACGGGTGGCTCCATAGGACTCTGCAAAGGAAAGGAGTCACTCTAAAACAGAAAGCCAGGGCCAGTGTTCAGGGGACCAGCTGATTCTGGAGGAAACTAAAAAAGGTCCGGTGTTCTATCAAAGTTTGTGACTACGTTGGAATGTGTGACCGGTGACGTGGTCACACATTTTAACGTAATCCCGCCCAGTTTTACAGTGGTGGAGTGTGTGACCGCCAATTAGGTTCAACATTCCAACGCTTTGTCAGATGTTTCAGGGTAGGTCGACTCACTGCACATGTGCAGTAGAATCGATCTGAATGACCCCATCTGCCTGGAACAGCTGATCGGTCCTCAAATGTCACTTCTATCCGCACTCATAAAGTCAGATAGAAGCGATCCACCCAGCGTGACTGGGGTGCCATTAAAAAATAATGGCACCTACAGCGCGATCCTCAGTGATGGGCGACTCCATGACCACGCCGCAATCCGCGCAGCATCGTGCACGATTGCCGCGCGCTCACAGATTGCCCAGGTGTGCATCGGCCCTAAAACATCAAGGAGCAGCCTATATTGTGAGTGATTTCATCAGCATTTGAGATAGCTTTAAACCTTTTGACTTTAATATCACTTTAAGTTCATGTTTGCCTTATCATGAGAAATGAATACAAAACAATGCACTGTGTGGAGTCTTGCAATCATCCACAGTGTGATTGTCACAATTGTGTGACATTGTCTTCAAGTTCTAGCACAGGGACACTTTGCTGAGCATGTCATAGCAGCCAAAGTCACACATGACTCTTCAGCAGTCAGGGGGCAATCAACGGTATAGGAAGGTAGTGATGATGACTTGGCACCGGTGACCTCCTCCTAATGCATTTTTCCCTGTCTCAGGACACTAGAGGGTGCACACCCCCCTCCTTCCAAACTTCAGGCTTTGAGTTGCAGCACTTGGACTGCACCAATACCCCGGGGAGGTGATTACTCTCTGTACAATGCCAGTCAGTCCTCTCTAGCCGGCTGAATACACATAAAACTGTGTACATAGTTTCTATTTACTCTGCTCAGCCTTTGATCATCACTAAATTCTCTGGTACAAAAGAGCATTCTTCGACTCTCTCCAGAACAGACAACACGCCCCCCCCTCCCGTGCGATGGTAGAGGCCCGCTGGAAGCTTGCCCCTGGGGAGTTTACACTTGGTTGAAGGGATCAGACAGTGTGCACGGTGCATGAGGGGTGTACCCATACTATGGCAGCGAGCAGAGTAAAGTGATCAGTCGATCAGCAGCTGCTCCGGATCACATACAGATCACTCTTAAAGGGGCAGATGTGTGACAGCTTGAGTGAGTAAGCAAAGCCTGGGAATCTAAACAGCAGCGATGCCCATCAGAGGAGACAGGTTGTTCCATCATCAAGCTGCCAGCCCGAGCAAGAATCTCTCAGCATGGTTTGGGGTAAGTACCTGCCATCATCTGATGGACTCGTTCTTTTATGGGGGGGTTGATAGGTGAGCTGTCCCCTGCCTGCAGGTATTAGTGAAGTAGCCTGGTCATGTGAGCAAACCTTGGGAGGAGGGGGTGAGCCTCCCATTGATTGGGAGATAGGGAGGGGGATGGGAAGTACAACTTGCTGAAAGTATTTGAAACTTCAATATTGGCTAATCAAAGGATCGGATCGAACGTGCCTGCTGACCATATGATTGATGGTACCCCTTTGTTAGAGGTCCCTCCATGCAGGGGATGTCTTGGTACATGAGAAGACTGCAGTGCATTGCAGTGTGTGTCCTCATGTATAATGCACTTGTCTCCATTGCTCGGAGTGCTGATCATCTACATTGTGCAGCTACTGTGACACCAGCAGGGACACTGCCACTCATCAGGACGAGAGATAGACTATGGATCACATTCACTTTAGGAAACTTTAGAGGAACTTGCTAACCATCATGTCAGCAGAGATCATGTGTATCTAATATAGTAGTATTAACATTACACAACAGATTCTCAATCATTATCATCATCCGGGGGTGTAAATTTGCTGGGGCAGTATCCATCAGTTACCAGACTGGGCTAAACTCCTCCTTTTTATTTCACAGATATTTGCAGTATGGCTGCCATTGGCTATTGTTCTTTTATTATTGATCAGTTATTGTGGCTGTATCAGTGCACTTACAACACAGTTGACTATTGTCCAGGATACTTTTTTTTTATTTATTTGTTTGGAATTTAAAAAGAATGTGCACCCAAAAAAGCTTGTCCTGAACATAACTGTAAACTTGGCCATGCAGTATATGAATTTCTGCTGGTTCTTGAACAGGCCAAACTTTGCACAGTGGGTGCTGCTGTCAGCACCCTTTCGGCCGGCATCCCTTGATCAGCTGATCGAAGGACTGGTTGGAAAATCTTTAACAGCGGGTAGCCAATCAGCTACAGGCTCTGTTTGGGTATACTGCGGCCGCCATCGGAATACAATGAAGACAGCGGAAGATTCCTTGATCAATGCTCAAGCGTTGATGGAGTAATCTGTTATGTTTTCTTTGTTCAACCCGCAGGTTGAATGAAGAAAGTATTAGCGTATAGGCATACAAAAAGTATGATGGACAGTAGCGTTGCTGAAAATCCATGAAAAAGCAGCAGATCGTATTGCTGGCTTTTTTTTTTGTGAGACTGGTTTATGAAAAGGCAGTGTGCAAAGTGCAGTAATACCCAGGAGACAATTAAAAATCACCTTTTATGCCTCAGTGTTAAAGTAGAACCGAAGCCAACACATTTATTAAGTTTTGGAAAGAGTAAGAGAGGCTTATAACCCCTGTCGGCTTTTTTTGCCATCTGTGTCCCATTGGGGAGATTTCCTTTTACTTCCTGTCTGCTAACCACAACAGGAAGCAAGAGAAAATAACAACAAAGCAAGGAAGATCCCTGGTGGTCAGCAGGGTCACTAGAACTAGTGTCCCCATTGGAAGATTTCCCATCTATTCCTGTTCTGATGACAACCCCAAATTTGGGATTTGCTTCATTGATAATGGTCACTAGGACAAATAGGGAAGGAACGAAGACAGCAATAAAAACCTGTCGGGTGGTCTAATCTCTCTCCGCCCTATCAAAAAAAAAAAAAGTTTTGGTCTTTATTTGCACTTTTGAAGTAAACCTGTCATATGCATGGGCTTGGTGTGAATCTAGTTCATTGGCGTTCACCCAAGCCATTGCAAAAATGTCAGTAGCACCCCCCTCTTGGCCTAATCTCCTGCAGCTGGGGCATTCCGTTCCTCGTAACTATGTGTAGCTGTGGGATGGGGAATGCCCCGGCTGCAATTGATTGAGCAGGGAAAGGGGAGTGTTGCAGTTTTGTGCAAGCTGGGTTCACACCAAACCCATTCACATCACTGGTCATGAGAGAAACATCAACGCTCTTTTTAAGTTGCCTGTTGCTTGGTGTCGGTACTTTTCGACTTGGGCAAGTATGTTGATGAGGAAAATGAGAGAGAAATCTGAAGTCATTTACTGCATGCTTGACCAGGTCCATGATTTAAAGCATTGAAGCCAGAGGATCAGCATGATTGCCAAGCAGCCATTTTTTATTTTTTTTTAGGAATAGAGGCAAGCAATGACGGCTTCCTCTTAAAGTGATATTAAGGGCAAAAGTACACACACACACACACCTTAAATTGTGTCCGATCTTCTTTCCTGTAGTTTTTAGCTGTCCCTCCAGTGCTGACTCCTCTGTCGTCCTCTTCTCTGATGTCCCACGGTGTCTGTGCGGGTGCACGCTGCTCCATACACTTACCTTGGGTCTCTCCCCATCTCCCAGCCGAACATCTGAACTGCGCATGCGCCCGCTCCAAGATTCTTTGCGGCCAGCCGAGAAGTTTTCAGATGTTTGGACGGGAGCGCGCGGTGGAAAACACAAGTTTTAACCCTTTGAAAAAGTTTATTTTTTTTAAAATCGTTTTTGCATATATCTACTGCTAGCTAGCAGTAGATATATGCAAAAACATGCAAGGGTTTAATAACCCTTTTAAGTCAGATGTGTGTATCTTAACCTCCAAAAACTAAAAAATGTAATACATTGCAACCATGAAAATAATAGGATAAATTCACAGATAGCAGGGGAAGGTTGCCCAAATAAAGTTTTTATTTCAATGTCAAGTTGAATTTACTATACCAATCAACGTCTCTCTGCATATATGGCTGCTGGAGAATATTATCATCTTGTGATACTGCCAGTAACAATCCTGTGTTAGGGTAACAAACGAACTGAATACGCACGTACAAACACGCAAAAAACAATGCCGCCTAGGTGTGAACCCGGCCTTAGTGAACAGATCTAACAAAACACTTTTAATAGTAAAAGACTAAAATGGAGCATAAAAAAAGAGACGTTCATTGTTAGGGTTTTTATATGGGGGAAGTGTGATTGTGGAAATATGGAACAATAGTCAGGCCATGAGTGGGCTCATTAAAACAGCTTAGGCCTCATTCACACTGGCACTCCTTTGTTTAGTTCTTCGTCTTGCTTCCAAGATCACTTTCTCCAGTGTTTTAAATGTTAGATATTGAAAGAAGAACTCTGGGCGAAATAAAACTTAACCCTTGCAGTGGGACTTTTTGCCTTGTCATGAATGGTCTTGGTTCACACCACTGCATTCAGGTTGTGTATGGCATGCAGTACTTTTTGTAAGCACATTGCAATGAGACGCGGTACAACCACATCGCACAGCGGTGAGCCCATAGAACTGAATGAAATGTCACTTGTGGCATTTCAATAAAGTTGTACCAACAAAAAACCCCAGTGTGATGTGGCTCGATCGAGCGCTTCAGCACTATCTACGTACATACACCAGCAGCCACGTGGTTAAGTGTGGCTTGTGTTGTGAACGTACGCTAAGACGAACCCCAATTAAATATTTTTTTAAGCAGATTGTGGAAGGGTTGGATGTTCAGTCCAAGTTAAAAAAAAATGTTTTGTGTTTTTTTTTTTGTTGCTGTCCCTATCCTTCTCGGGGAAGTAGTTTCCCATCATCTCCTCTAATTGTGACCCCCCCCCTTTTCACTTTTTTCATGCATTTGCAACAGTTTTCCTTTTTGCTTGTCATGTTATCAAATTCACCGCAGCAAAACTGCCCTCCTTACCATCTTGTCTTGAATTGTATTGTAACTGTAATGTCCTTCCTTATATTGTAAAGCGCTGCGCAAACTGTTGGCGCTATATAAATACTATGTAATAATAACTGTAAACAAACAAAAAAATAACCAATGCACTTTAATGTGCATTGTTTAGACTTTTGCAGTGGCCTGCAAAATAGTCCAAGCGCATTGTTTTTTTTTTTTTTACGGTTTCCGCATGTTTGCGGCTATATAATAGCTGCAAACAAGCAGAATCCATGCGGATGAAAGATTTTAGGGTTTGCATTGCCACGCGGTGTTCTACATGGAAAACCGTGCGGTAAACGCTATATGTGAATGGAGAAAAGTTTAGCAATGGCAATCTGCAAACAAACATGAATGGAATGAGGATCCCCTTTTTTCATTCAAGTTGCCATGTCTAAGTTTACTTGGTTGGTGGAGCTCTTATACCAGAACCTTTTAAATGCAGAGTGGATGAATCCCTAAAACAGTCTTAAGTATATTATGTGTTTCTTTCAATACCCTCGATCTGAATTGGGCAGAGCGAAATGCCAGTGGAGTGGAATTTTTATTATTTGCTTATCAAGTTTTTTTTTTCATTTATATTCTTAGAGTTATAAAGTTAGAATGTTCCAGTGTTTTTGTGGTGTTTTTGTTTTTTGTATATTTATATTATACTTAAACTTGAACTCCCAGGCTGTTTTAGCTGCCATTTTTATTTGTTTAAATTTTGTCTGTACAGGTCTGAGATTTACACAGCTTTGCACATTGATGAGCTTATATCTGTCATTCTGCCCTCTCCTTTCATCAGCATGCTCCTTACTGGTCAGGACACCTGATTGGCAGCTGCTTTGTCCCCCTCTTTGAGCTTTGCTGTACAGACTAGACTCTATAATTGACTGCAAGAGGCTGATACTAAGTCAAATTCAGATACTTGTACTGCTTAAATTAAAAGAATACATTTAAGGAATTGGCTCTGGTGAGTTGAGTCTGCTTGTGTTCTTTGTTTGTGTCTTGGTTATTCCTGCCCACCACCTTTTGTGTATTCTTAATGACTCCTGATGACTTCAAAGCTTGTTATATAAAACATTGAGGGTTGATTCACATTGGCACGCTGCAATAAACTAATAGCAGCTGGCGTGTGGTGAGACAAAAACATTGCTGATGCACCCTTGCGGTACATCGCACTGTCTGCTTTTTTTTATTTTTTTTTATTTTAGAACTTTATTTTAATGTCAAGCATTACATTTCATTCAGTTGTACAGGTACAGCATGGTGTGATGCAGTGGTACTGCAGGCAGTACTTTTTTCCACCACACAGGGCCGCCGTCAGG